AGAAGTTTTGAAAAAACAACGTCTTCCCAAGAGCAGTATTCCCTTATTACTTGTGCTCCATATATAGGATTTCCTCTCCCTCTACTCCTCTGGCCTCATTCTGTGCCTCTTTCATTTGGTGGTATAATTTAAATAGTAACCATCAGTGTACAGACCTTAGGGGCAAGGATTTAAAGAAGTAGGAAAGGCAGGTCTCCCTTCTTTGATGAAAGCAGACAGAGAACTCTTCCCCTCTGCTCATATTTGGGAATGCCCTGCTCCTCCAGAGATCTCATTTCATTTTGCCTATTGAAGTGGTATCTCATACCAAGTAAAAGTAAACTGAAATGGAAACAGCAGGAGGAGCTGAGATTTGGTTTAAAAGCTGGGGATCTGAGGCTTTTCTAATAGCAGACAGAACATCAGCTCTGCAGCCCCACACAAGGGGGCGAATAGTAGGGTTGTGAGAAGCTTTGGTTGCTGATTCAATTCAGAGGAGGGAATCGCTGAATTGGCCAAATCTCTGAATCCAAATCGAATCAGGAGACCTATTAATCTCTCCGAATCAATTCAGAGAGATTCAGAGAGATTCAACGATTCGGCCATAGACATGGCTTTATGTTTTTTCTATGCACCTCAAGGTGTATAGTTCATGAAAGCTGAGATGGTGGGGTGGATGGACTGTCCCACAGGAGTGTGGGGGGGGTCCCCCTCATGCTCGGTGGTGGACCTTGAAGTGAACCAGAAGTAATTCCGGTCCACTTCTGGGTCTCCCGCCAAGCACGCGGGGAACCTCCCCACCCCCCAACTCCTGTGGGATGCTCCATTTGCCCCACCATCTCAGCATTCATGAGCGGCACCTAGTACCTCAAGGTACGTAAAAAAAACATATAAAGCTGTGTCTACAGCTGAATTGCTGATTCTCCGAATCCGAATCAAATCTTCAGATTCAGTTTCAGCCAAACCAAAATTGGGACAGTAATCCAAATCAGCAAATCGAATTGCTGTCTCCTGAATTAGGCCAAATCTGAATCAAATACTGCTTCCTTTGCACACCCCTAGTGAATAGCTCCCAGGCAGTGGTCTCTCTACTTTTGCTCATATACAAAAAGATTGCCCTCCCCTTTCTTCCACCACAATACAAAAGAAGGTGGATGAGGAAGACACTACTTTTGGCTCCCTCCAAAGAAAGAGTGGAAAGAGGCCTTATCCAATACCATTAGCTCTTCTGACCCTCTGAAGATCTCAGACAGCTAAGGCCAGATTTCAGCCAAATACGTACTGTCTGTAAAATGCTTTGAGACCTTTAGGAGTGGCACACAAAAATTGAAAAGCATGATCTATTTATGTTGCTTTTACTACATATCAACCATTAAATATTAGCTTTATTATCAATGAATAGACTAGTAAACAGGTCATAATAGTTTGACCTAAGTTGTAAAGTGATGATAGATTGCCACTGGAAGTTTTGAAGAACAGATTAAAAAATATCTGTCAAGAACAGTTTCATTAAAAGTTATCCCTACCTTGGGGCAGTGGATGAACTAGATGACTTCTTGAGGTCTCTCCCAATTTTATTTTCTATGAAGCTCTGAGTTAGAATGCTTGACTTGATTTTTCAGATGGCAGGTGGCCACCATTTTCTTACATTAGGACCTTTTAAGGTATCTTAATATTGACCCTCAATGTAAGAAGTTAGTTTAAAAAATTTAGATCTTTTAATTTTAACAAACAATGCAGTTGAATTTACCAATCAATGTTCATGTCAAACAGGCAAAAAACATTTGCCTGTTTTTGCCAAAGGAAAAAAAATAAACAGGAATGACTGTAATTTATTAAACTAATCCATTGCTTAAACAAGCTATATTTCAGCTCTTGTAATTAACTAATGAAAATTAACTTTTTTCTTCAATGAAAATAATTAAAAAAAATAATACAGACACACACAAAGATTAAAATAGGCAAGGTAACTGAAAATACATGATTTTAAATTGCACTGATATGTAAGTCTGGGTTTTTTTTCTTGCTAATAGCATAGTTGAGGCAGAAATATAATTATTACTCATTCCAAATCATATTTTCAATTATACATATATCTGTTCTCATTTCAATTCTTGTTCATAAATATTAAAAGCATAATAAAAAGAATTGTTACACAAGTTCACTTTTTCACATGCCATGTATAGACATAATGTAGTCATCCAGTTACAGATAATGTATTTCCATAATTACTGGTACATGTAATACTATACATATCATTACCATTTACATACTGCATTACACTAAGCTTGTAGCTACATTTCTGTAGGTTGTTAAAAGTAGTTTAAATGGTCATAGATGAATTTGCCTTCCCTTTAAACAAACAAATGAACTATTAATAGCAGCTAGTGCCAAGTTTAATCAGAGCAGCTGTGAACCCTTGTTCAAATAGCTTTGCAGTTCTCACCTGAAAAATTAATCTTTTCCTCTAGCTAAGTTGGCTCAGTATCAATACACAGACTTTTGTAGCTGGCACATCACATAAGGTCATATATACTGTTTCTGAATAGGCCCTATGTGGGAGGGGAACAACTCTGGAATGAACTGTCATGCTCTTCCATCACAGTGTGCTGGTGAATAGGCTTTTGTTAGCATCTGCAACCTTGGAAGCCACAAAACAGCTTTTTCAGTAGTAATGAATACAAAAAGTAAAAGATGTTTCCACTAAGTTAAAAATATTTTTCATTTGCTTTGAGATACACCGCTCTTAAATTATTTTGAATGCCCTGTATAAAACACACTCAAAACATTGTGAAACAAGTCATTATATTATATTCTATAGGAATGCAACTGCTTCTGGAGTAATCAGTTATCATCCAAGCCAGCAAAATATGGTACTAAAGAATGGTAAAATATTTAAGCAAGAGCAGCATGAGAAACCCCACTTCTTGTTAAAAGTGATACGTGAACTTTAACACATAGGAACAGCAGGCATGGCACAGCTTTAGCAACTTGTGTAACCAACTCAAATGCAGTGAACTAGACACAAATCCAATTTCTCTCACTGCAGACAAGTCGAATTCATCCTCTCTCCGCCCCCAGGCTGGATTCAGACCACAACGCTCCTTGCAGGCTGGATCTGGGCCCAGCAATAGCAAGGTAAAAGGCATTGTGTCAGAACAGCCATTGGTTGCCTCCTGCTGCCAAAGGCCATCCCCACTGGAGCACTGGAGCCTTGAATTCTGTGACAGGCACCGCCCTTGGATTCTCATGCCTTTGAAACCTTGAGTATAAAACGCATTGCAGTAGTCTAGGTGGGGCTGCCCTTGAAGACCATCCAAAAGCTGCATATGGTGCAAAGCACTGCAGCCCACATTCTTACAGGGTTGGGTCATCAGGAGCACATAACTAGTGCTCCAGAGAGGCTTTATTTTGTTATTGAATTGACTTCATGAGATTGAGTGCTGTAATTTGGCAACCAGAAAATACAGCCTCAGGCCTGCAAGGTCCTGTACACTCTACTTCTTAAAAGTTGTAAAGGGTGCTCAATCCCTCACAGGGTTAAGTCCTAAGGCCTGTACCTTGGAAATCAATTTAAAAAGTGAATTCAGTGAATATACCTTTTACAACCCTATCCACTGCATAAAATTACGAGTGCATATATTTTTGCAGGATTAATCCCTAAATAATCTTTACTATAGAAGGAAAGCAAAACCTTCCATTAAATTTTTCATGGAAAACATTATCCATTGCTAAACACAGTATTTGATATAATAATGGCACACTGTATTCATGTAAACTAATGGCAATAAATCTCCATTGCACATTATAGAACATTAAATATAATCACTACTCCAATGCTAATTCAGTTTAGAAGCTAGGGACACTGGAATCACTGCTTTAAACGAAAATGTGTTAGATTTGAGCTGATGTCTCTACACCTAAGGTAGGAAACTTGCTATGTATGCTACTATACCCAAATATCTGGGTCATTAAAATCATTTATATGTCAATTGGCAAAGTGAATGTTTATTTCAGATGACAAAAAGTATACTTCATCCTATAAAAATTAAGAAATGTTACAAAAAAATCCCCCCTCTTTCTCTCTCTCAAGTATTGGTCCAAGTCACTGATTTTATAGTAAAATCAGTCATGGTATCTCTCATTTACAAATACAGACAATAATCGTTTCATGTTACAAATGCAGAACCTTATTGACTATAATACAATAACAGATACTCTATTTCAAATCAAATCTCTCTTAGACCTATTTGTTTCTTATAAATTACATGTTCTTAGATCCATCTGTGAAAACTGGAAGGTTAATTATGATGGTACATAGTGTGATTCCACAGTTAAATGCTAAAATAGTTCTACATAAATACCATATGTTTGTCTTAGAAAAATGTAGAAAGATTAATTAGGAGTTCAAGCCCAAGACTTTGGAAAGTAATACTCTGAACACAATTAGATTATTACATTGTGTACTATGCAAATTGAAGTTTTAATTAATAGCTGAAACACCAGTCAAGGGGGAAAAATCTATGAAGTCTAAATTGCATGCATCAGACTTTCCTTAGTGACGCTTTTTACTAAAGAAGGTTTTTCAGAAACTGTGCACTAGTTAGTCACAACAACAACCATTTTAATTTAGCACATTATTTTTGATATAGAAATTACCTGTGGAACACTGTAATCCTATTTGCTCCACCTATTTTAAAATTGCTTCCCACCTTGACACTAAGGAAAGTGATTGAATAAATAAGCCACGATCAGAAAGCAGACTGATAAACCAGTTGAAAAGTCAATTTAGCATTACAGTGACCTGATGTGCTCTTTAGTCTCCTAACTGACTCTGAATTCAGGAGTACTGTAGTTAGCCTTTCGTTTTTAGTATACTCCAGAACAAAACAGCACCCTTCCATTCTCCTGGTGAAACCAATGGGTTATTGTGGGCCTGATCTGAAGTTAATAAGGGCTTTTCCACTGATTTCTAATGTACCCTGGACCATGAACTATAACTTTAATTTAATTTTACTTACCACATATTCAAATACAAGTGTCAATGTTTCCTTGGTGTGAATGATGTCATGAAGCAGCACAATGTTTGCATGTTTCAATCCTTTCAAAAGAGAAGCTGCAAGACAAAATGTGCACATTAGAGGCCAGGTTATTTTGAAAGAGAATAAAATATTTTAAAGCAAAAGATTAAAATAAGTTCATTTTAATAATTAATTGGATGGCCTCTGGTCACTGGCAGAATTTTTAATTTTTTCCTTATAATTTTGATGGCTATAATTGATTCATATTCTTTACCATTTCTTTGCCTTTGTCGATTTTTATTGATGTTTATCGATTGAAAATTTCGGGGTTATGCTCCTAGCCCAGGGCAGGAGGCACTTCCCTGCTCCCTACTGCCCCTGAGGGGGGGCAAGCCCACCTGGCAGGCACCAGCGGAGGGGCAGCCTGGCCTCTTGCTAGCCACGGCCTCCTGCCTCTCTGGGCAGGGCAGAGACAGCAGCTGTACCCTGGGGGCACCCCCACTAAGGTGGCCATTGGTCTTGTTTTATACCAGACCATCCTGTTTTAAAACACAGTTTCTTGTCCATTTCTGAACAAGGAACGGACAGAAAAACGTCCAGTTTTTCAGTTTGTTGCTGGAAATGCATGTCAATCATTTGTCCTCGTGATTCTATTGGCTGTGCCTAGAGATAGTAGTGCACAGCCAGGAGGACAGGGGTTCCAAGCCATCCAGGGAAGGAGGGAGGGAGGTGGTGGCCCCACCCCTTGTTGCTGATTGGCCAAGGGGCCCAGTGGCCCCCACCCCT